GCTTTCAGTTTTTCCTTTTTGACCTCTTTTAAGGTGAAAATGTAGCAGTTTTGTCAGGTTTGCATGCGGTTTTCGGTTTTGCTGCCTTTTTTTGTTGGTTTTGGAGGTTTTTTTCTCTGGTTTTGGGTTTCCCAGAGGTCCCAATGCCCCCCTCCTTTATCCTGATCACTTTTAGATGATAGGTAAAACCATGGCACACCATGTGAACAGTCCCTTATCAAAGGACTTTAACTTGTAACTAGCTGATCTCTGACCTCTAAAAGGGAATAGCAGCTAATTCATCTTTACAGTGTCAGCCTTGAATCATTAGCTTACAAGAATAAAGGAAATGATCACTAACTAAAGAAGCTCTGGATTGTTACACAAATTCTCCTTGTCAGCATCTTACAGAATGCATAGGTAGTATGCATACTCAGTATGGAGATTATGCAGACTGATGTTAGGTTGTAAATGATAAATGACTTGTTGTCAATTGGACATTATTAGTTACCGATCAAAATTACTCTAAATAACCACCAAACACATATTTGGATCACACAGAACTTCAAGGTATTTCTTGAAATTCAAATTGTTACTATCACGGGATAACTGACCAGATGAATCTTGTATACTCCCTAATTAGGGTCTTATGGAGGTATAAATATAAGAATTTTGCTGATATTCAGATTAAACCGAACCGTTGAAAACAGATATATAGATCAGCTTGATAAAAGAAAAGTAGTTTTGTTGGAAGAAAACGAACTTATGTTAAAAAAGAATCGAAATCAATCTTTTTGAAGGTGCAGATAAAAAAAAAAAAAACATTAAAATTACAAAAGCTCATTGAAAACAACGTTCACAGTGGCAGCTGTGATCATGCGAACTTGCACGTACGGTGCTGTACGTACCTTTCCCACGTCGTTTAGGCGGCTGGGATTTTGGTTGAGGAATAGGAGCTGGTGTAGAAGTAGGAATACTCTCCGGTGTCCTAGGAACACTAGGTGTCTGACCCACGGAGCTCTCAGGGCTAACTGTCACTGAAACTGAAGCAGTTTCCAACATGGAAACCTGACTACCGCTTTGGGGAGACTCCATCGTATTGCTTTCCTCCAATGTCGCTTCTTTTGAATTGCGACCAAAAGATTCTCTTTCGCGAAGAAATTTTTAGGATAAAGTCTCTTTTACTATAAATGAAGGTTAAGAAACGATGTACTTTTTATCTCAGAAAGGAAGAAAAAAATTACTTCAGGCGATTTTTAGAAAATTCACCCGCCATGACAACGCAGGTGCTCTATGGGCACCTAGTGTTAGTTACACAACCAATAGATTCGGTAGGAAGGTCAGCTGACCAAAATGATCACAGGCGCGAAAGCACGCATTCGTAAAATCTCCAGCTCAACATACCTCCAACAGGCCAAAAAATTAAGCTAACAGCTGGAGTTCATGATAATTTCATGAAGTTTTCCTTGGGTTTTTAGAGCAAAAGTTTCCTTGTAATTTTTGAATATTTAGGTGAAAAATAAATATATCGCTTTCTCTGCGATGAAACGCTTTTTATGTTAAAAGCTAAGTAGAAGGCTTTGACGTTTTATTGTAGGAAAACGAGATCGAGAGGAGCAAATACGAATGAAATTACCTTTCAATTATGTCAAGAAAGCTTGTTATTCATTCATGGATACTCATGACCAAAAACCAATGCCTAAATACCTGAATGGTGTTGTAAGTAAAAATAGCTAAATTATCAACAATAAAGCCGAGTTTACTTAACAGCTGTTATTCGCTCTGTTTGTCTAACCCGTATCACCGTGTTCTGCGGCGTTGTCGAGGTTGGAATACAGCTCGGTGAGATGCTATTTCGATTTTCAATAATTACAAGGTGAGGAAGCTTTTGACATTTCTTCCCAAAATAACAAGAGCTGGCTGGTTATTTTTACGAAGGATACATTTTGGTACAGGGACAGAACCGGCCTCTAAAGTTTACTCAGCAAACAACAATCTTGTTTTCACTTGTAAAAAAAAACAGAACAAGCAAATAACATATTATTTCCTCGACCAATTCGACGAAGGAACAATATCCGAATAGATTGAATTAGGATGAGTTCACAGACAAAACCTACTATAATCCAAGTGTACAATTGTCGCATTTAGGCATAATTTCTCCGGCTGTGTAACCGAATCCATTTTCTCAGCCAACTGAATCGGTTAAACTTCACAAGTTTGCCACATTAAATGTCGAAATAGTGTTGACTAACATTACTAAATCAATGCTATCCAGAAAGACTGGCTATATTTTTCAGCTAATCAAAACAAGAAGGAAGTTTTTTCCATCATGAGCAGCTTCTTTGTTTTATTCATGAATAATTCATACATTTTGTTGCTCATTTGGTTCTAAGGCCCTATCGTGTTCGTCAGGTAAATCATAAAATGCCTCAGCTCTCATGTTGTAGTTTGTTACACGGCATCTCATATCAATGCTGAAAACTTTAAGTGTCATGTATAGTTTGTATTGAGTTTTTCTTTGTCGATGGTGACTGAATTAGAAACAAAAGAGAAAATTGGAAGGATTCCTTGTGCAATTCAAATCAGTAAATTGCAAATAAAGACATACGGACTGACTAAAATTGTATACGAACGTCAGTCCTCATTCCCGCCATGGCGGTTAAAAAATCCCAGCGACCATGAACTGCTTGAAAGCCATGATTCATGGTCGGAGCCTAAAACCGAGGGAAATTCTTCTTGTCTCCAGCCTCCGCCCGGCGTAACCATGGTAATTCATGGTAATTCTAAGCAACGTAAGCTCTACACATGCAAAACTACTGTTTGATACTGAGGTGAACAATTATTATGAACCCTCATAAGTTTACTGACAATTTTTACGCAGATAGAAAATGGCAGATGTTGTTTTCATGAAGAGATCAACGGCTCTTGATAAAAATTCCAAAGCTCTCTTTACCAGTCGTGTATTTGATAGAGTCCTATCTCAAGAAACCAGAGGAGAACTCAGACAGTTGGTAAACTTATCATGGCGACCAACTCTCACAAATGTCTTGCATAGTAGCTTATTTACCACCAGCCTCCTCTTTGCCGGGAGATTAGGCGAACAAGAGCTAGCAGCAACAGTTTTATCGACGTCCTTTATTGGAGTTACCGGAACATTTCTTGGATCTGGTTTAATCACTGCTTTGGAAGTTTTATGTACGCAGGCGTTTCGAAACAGAAGTTACCGACTTGTGGGGATAACGTTTCAGAGAGGCGTGTGGCTGCTGGGGATTTCTGTTCTGTTTGTCTGGGCCATTTGGACAAATGCAAAACCGCTGCTGTTGATAATCAAACAGAAAAGAGAGGTAGTCAGGTAATGTAATGTGTTACTGAAGAGTCGTCTTACTGTATTTCTTACACAAATTTCAAAGCTAGTTTTCAATGTAAACATTGCGAATTTAAACTTTAAACGCTCTACAAGATCGATTGTATACATGGACAGCTATTCAGTCCCAGAGATTCTGTGTCGTAAATACCGAAACCCAAGTTATCACACCGGCCAATCAGAAAAAAGGAAAGTGGCGTTAAGAGCCAAAAAAAAATCATAGTGAAACGACAAAAAGAGGTTTAGCGCGGGAAAACACGACGTCTAAGTCGGGAATTGGTTTTAGTTTTGTCTCTGATTAGTTAATAATAATAATAATAATAATAATAATGATGATAATAATAATAATAATAATAATAATCGAATATTTATCCAAGATAGCCCTTCAGTACCAAGTACTGTTATTAACGGGTCCTGCTGTTAAAAAAAATATTTAACATAATTATAACATAAAGAAGAATAAACAAAATTATTTAAAGAAGACATGCCCTAGATTAAAACCGTTGAAAATTAACTACAATAAAAAATCACAAGTAAAAATCGTTCAGGGCTTTCCCAAATAAAACTTTGGAATTAATGTTTCTCAAACGTAATGGCAATGAATTAAAAAGCGAAGCACCTAAGGAATAAAAAGAGAGCGGCACGAGTTTTCTGGACCAATCACAGAGCAAAGTAAAGCAAACACAAAGCAATCCCTTTAAATACGCGACATTCATTAAACACTGCTCTATAAAAAATTACCGATTCATTATTGGAAGTTAACACTCGTCTTCAGTGACATGAAGTCGCCGTTATTTTGGTGATAAGTCGCTGAGGAACAGACTAAAGGAAAATATTATATTAAAGGAAAATATTATATTAAAGGAAAATATTATATTCCTTTCATATTAAAGGAAATTTAACTATTCCTTTGTTTCAGACTCTCGCAACTGTTTGTCTTCGTTTGGTTTCCAGCTGTGGCAGTGAGTATTACTTTTTTTATTTATCCACATCCTTTCGCGACGCCCCCTTTATTGATGGCAATAATCATCATTGAAAGCTAGCCGTGTTATGCTGCTACCTCCGAATTTTGATTGGTCCGCAGGCTATGGTATATGAATAAAGGCTGATAGTTTCTAAAGAAACTGTTTGGCGTCGGTGGGGCCAACGAAACATATCAACATATATAAATATATCAATATATATAAATATATCAATACATCAACAAAGTTGAAATGGTAAATTGGCCACCGTTATGATTATAAAAGCTGACGTTTCGAGCGTTAGCCCTTCGTCGGAGCGAATAGAGGAATTGTGGGTTGTGTGTGCTTTTAAAGGCAGAAAATGGAGCTACGTTATTGGTGGGAACATGGCAACGAGAAAAACA